GGAAAACATCCCCGATAAAGTTATGAAAACATTCTTAAAGAAACCAAGCAATGTACGATATACTTGTTGAATTCTATTTAGCTTAATTCGAACTTAGTTTCTTTTTACATTCGCAAGCTAGTTTGTAATTAGTGGATTGTTAACGCATTAGCATTCTAATAAAAAATAAAAAATTGAGAGAGGGCACAGTAACCTTGCACCAAAAGCAATCAATGAATTCTGAACCAACGGTAAAGGATTTCATAAGAACCCAATAGAATCGCTACAGCCTTTGCTCCATGGCAACAGTGCTACCACAGATATAAACTTGTTAACACTAGTACAGTATGTATCGGGTATAGCCTGTGCACATCTGTTCCCAACCCACCCCTGACTAGAAAAATTCTGGTTGCTGTCGTCAAATGCCACACCCTGTGGGGAACAACTTAATGATCACATGTAACTAAAGTATCGATCGCCAACTATGATAGTATCGATGAAAAAAGGCATCTTATGTTCATCTGCAAATTCCACAAGAAATCAGGGAGACAGTATTGATGAGCACAAAAGCTATCATCTTTCTTCAAAAGTGTTTTGACAACACGATGATAACCAACAAACAAAAAACGTGCTATGCCATATATATCTGGTGGCTTGAAGTGGCACTTTTACAAAGGTCGCCCAGCTTTCTCTATACAAGGTAGGCAAACTTGGATCGGCAAATATATCCCCACCCTGGGGCACTGAACAGTGGCGGATCCAGGATTTTTCAAAGGGGGGTTTCGCATTTTTCTAAAATGAACTTTTTTACTGTGCCTCTCGAATTGTAGCAAATGCAACGTGAATGTATTTAATAAAGATTCATTGCACGATGTGCTTTCATTTTATTTCGTTTATCATTAATTTTATTTTTTATTTTTCTTATGCTTGAGGGGGGTTCCTAGGAACCCATGGAACCCCCCCTGGATCCGCCACTGCTGAATGATTGACAAATGCCCGACTCTGGAGCAGTAGTAGTTGGTCTGGTGCCGGCGGGGGCTTAACATTGATAGGTGCATAAGCTTACTTATATGTAGTAAGTTGCACAAAATGTATTTTTGTGACGTCAAGTGAAACCCATAAACTGACTTAAATTTCGTATGTGCGTTGGCATATACTCCCGCATATACTGTTAAACTAATTGCATTTAGGAAGCTAGTCAACTAAGCATACCTCAGATGCATGTTCGACTTCTTTCGGCGGCAGTCAACCCCCCTCCCACCCGGGATCATCCCAGATTTATTTTCTCCGCCGGCCCTTGGGGCATTTACCGACTAAAGGATGACTTTTGCAAATCTCACGACCAAAAGGTACAAAAACTTTAAAGCT